TCCACCCAAACTTAACAACTTCGGCCACTATTGACATTTGGATGTAGTTCTCTCTGGTCTTTTATTTTGTTTACTGTTTTAATTATGAAGTCCAACATACATACAGAAAAACATATGAAGGCTAGGCACAGTGGCTCACATCTGTAATCCCACCACTTTGGGAGGCTGAGGCAGGAGGATTGCTGGAGGCCAGGAGTTCAATACCAGACTGAGGAACATAGTGAGATCCCGTTTCTACAAAAATAATAATAAAAAGAATTACCTGGGTGTGGTGGCACATGCCTGTGGCCCCAGCTACTCGTGAAGCTGCTTGAGTCCAGGAGTTCAAGGCTACAATAAAATAGGATTGCACCACCACACTCCAAGCTAGGCTACAGAGTGAGACTGTCACAAAAGAAAGAAAGGAAAGAAAAAGAGAGAGAGAGAAAGAGAGACAGAGAGAGACAGGAGGGAAGGAAGGAAGGAGGGAGGGAGGGAGGGGGGAAGGAAGGGAGGGAGGGAGGGAGGAAGGAAGGAAGGAAGGAAGGAAGGAAGGAAGGAAGGAAGGAAGGAAGGAAGGAAGGTTGGTTCTATGTAAAGTTTAGTAAATAGTTAAAAAGTGACTGCTAGCGTAACCACCACTAGGGACAAGAAATGAAACATTGTTGGAATCTCTTGCCTATTTCCTTCTCCTATACTTTCTAAAGTCAGGCCTATTCTGACTTTGTGGCAGCAAATCCCTTTCTTTTCTTGATAAATTTACTACCTGCATTACTGCCAACCATACCTGTACCCCTAAACCATGCACTTTAACTGTATTTTCTAGTTCATATAAGTGTACTTAACACTGTTGTCTTTTGTGTCTTGCTTTTAAAAATTAAATGCTATCTTTGTTAGATTCGCTCATCTTTGAATTTTAAAATTCAATGTTATGTTTGTAAGATTCACCGTTGTTTCTGTCTACAGCTATAGTTTAATTTTTATTGTTGTATAGTACTTCATTATATGACTAGGCCACAATTTATCCATGTACTAGTGACATTTAAGTTGTTTCCATATAGCCAGCCGTTCAAAGCTGCAGTGAGCTAGAATCACACTCCTGTTCTCCAGGATTGCTTGAGGTCAGAAGTTTCAGACTAGCATGGGCAACATAGCAGGACTCTGTCTCTACAAAAAAATTAAAAATTAGCCAGGCAAGGTGGTGCACACCTGTGGCTCTAGCTACTCTGGAGGCTAAGGAGAGTGGACTGCTTGAGCTCAGTGCTTCAGTATCAGGCTGGGCAATGCGGTGAAACCCCGTCTCTACAAAAAAAATTTTTTAAAATTAACCAAGCATGGTGGTACATGCCTACAGTCCCAGCTACTCCGGAGGCTGAGGTGAGAGGGTTGCTTGAGCCCAGGGTCGGGGGGAGGGCGTCGAGCCTGCAGTGAGCCATGTTTGTGCCACTGTACTCCAGCCTGGGTGACAGAATGAGACATTATCTCAAAAAGATAAAAAATAATGAAGTCAATAAAAAATGTAAAAAGGTACAGTAAAAATGCAGTATAAAAGATAAACAGTGATCCCCCTGTAAAGGGCACTTACCATGAATGGAGCTTGCAGGACTGGAAGCTGCTCTGAGTGAGTCACTGAGTGAGTGGTGAGTGAATGTGAAGGCCTAGGACGTTACTGTACACTACTGTACATCTTATAAATGCGGTACACTTAGGCTACACTAAATTTATCATTTATTTCTTTCTGCAGTAATAAATTAACTTTTAAAATAAAGAAATAAGCTGGGAATGGTGGCTCACCTCTGTAATCTCAGCACTTTGGGAGGCTGAGGCAGACGGATCACGTGAGGTAAAGAGTTTAAGACCAGCCTGACCAACATGGTGAAACCCCAACTCTACTAATCATGCAAAAATCAGCTGCATGTGGTGGCATGTGCCTGCATCTCAGCTACTCGGAAGGTTGAGGCAGGAGAATCGCTTGAACCTGGGAGGCAGAGGTTACAGTGAGCCGAGATGGTGCCATTGCACTCCTGCCTAGGCAACAAGAGCAAGACTCTATCTCAAAAAAAAAAAAAAAAAAAAAGAAAGAAAGAAAGAAAAGAAAAGAAAAAGAAAAAATATTAACTTTCATATGCTATAATTTTTTACTTTATAAACTTTTTTTCTTCTTACAGCAGAACTGCCAGAAGAGACTTTATAAACATTTTTATTTTCTTAATGTTTTGACTGTTTTGTAATAATACTTAGTCTAAAGCACAAACACATTGTACACAAATATTTTTTCTTTATATCCTAATTCTATAAACTTGTTTCTATTAAAATTTTTAATTTTACTTATAAGATGCAAACACACATATTAGCTTAGGTCTGCAAGGGTCAGGATCATTAATATCACTGTCTCCACGTCCATATCTTGTCCCACTGGAAGGTCTTCAGGGACAATAGTCTGCATGGAGCTGTCATCTCCTATGATAATGATGCCTTCTTCTGGAATACCTCCTCAAGGACCTACCTCAGGCTGTTTTACAGTTAGCTTTTAAAAAAATAAAGTACAAGGGGTGCACTCTAAAATAATGAAAAAACTATAGTATAGTCAGTACATAAACTAGTAACAGTCATTTATTATCATTATCAAGTACGACATACTACACATCATTGTATGTGCTATGCTTCATAGGACTGCCAGTGCCGTAGGTTTGTTTACATTACCACAAATACATGAGTAATGCATTGTGCTATGACATTATTATTGGGTACCAGCCCCAACCCCATACTTGGGTGCCCTTAGTCCCAGTGGTGACAAGGGATTGAGAAAAGGAAATAAAGACAGAGACACAAGAGTAGAACTTGCAGCATGGGTCTAGGGGACCAATGCCAGCATGGGAACTGCATTGGCCCTCTGGTCTCCAAACACTTATTTATTTATTTAAAGATGGGGTTTCACCATGTTGGCCAGACTGGTCTCGAACTCCTGACCTCAAGTGATCTGCCCACCTTGGCCTCCCAAAGGGCTGGGATTACCGGCCCAAACACTTTTATTATATGCATAATCTCATTGATTTTATGGGCGAGGAAGAGGAGGGTGAAGGGGTGGGTAAGATAGCCCAGGGGAGAGCACTTGAGATCCTTCTAAGACATGCTAAACTAGTACTCTGAGTTGTTGTTGTTGTTGTTGTTTTTAATAGAGATGGGGTTTCTCCGTGTTGATCATCAGGCTGATCTCGAACTCCCTACCTCAGGTGATCCACCCACCTCAGCCTCCCAAAGTGTTGGGATTACAGATGTGAGCCACTAAGCCTGGCCTAGTACTCTGAGTTTACCTACAATTGTTATCAGGGTGCAGCGGATAAGGAGCTACCGGGTCTGACCACACCCAATGCATCAAGGGGCTTTTATCTCCTGAGCAAGAGGGCAAAGAGCAATTAAAATTACTCCATATTCCAAGAACCTAGGCAGAGCCTGAGGCATTCTGTGATTGCTGCCTTGTAAGGCTTTCCTCCTCCTTGCCAACTCCCATCTAGAATGACCCTCCCTGATCTTGTGAGCAGAGGTCGCCTCCCTTCTCAGAGATCTTGGCACAGACCCACTTTATGAGACCTTCATGTCATTTCCATGTTGAGAAGGCATTTGCGGGACCAGAGCAGTATTGCCCGTTCTGCAACCACCCTGGTGTTCCCTGGTGTCACTGCACTCTCGAATGGTCTTTATCTTAGGCCTCCTTTTGCCGCTTGATTTCTAATTAACTGCACCAATAATATAGTTAAGTTCGGTGTATAGACTTCAGTGTACTGTGAGCCAAGTAAGCTTATAATTATTTAGCTAGAATTAACATAGGTCTCCCCCTGGCCATCTTGACCCACAATTATAACAACTAGGACTTCACTAGGGCATAGGAACTTTACATCTCTGTTATGATCTTATGGGCTACTGTTAGTCCTTTATTCACTGAAGTCATTAGGCAGTGTGTGACTGTACATGGTTAAAGGAGACAGCAATCAGATTTTATAGCCTGGTCTTTTGTAACAAATTCACTCCTCCCTTTTCTAATTTATTTGTAAACATGATATAAAATATTAAAACATAATACAGGTGGCCCTCCAGATCCCTGGGTTCCATATCCATGCATTCAACCAACCACAGATCAAAAATATTTTGAAAAATCTGTATGTCTCTATTGAATATGTACACTTTTCTCGTCATTGTTTTGTATACATTCTAGCATAACAGCTACTTACATAGCATTTACATTGTATTAGGTATTATAAGTAACATATGGAGATGATTCAGTAAACGGAAGGATATGTGTAGTATGTAAATACTATGCCATCTATAAATACTATATCAGAGACTTGACCATGTATGGATTTTGGTATCCATAATTACTGTATCTGTGGGGTATCCTAGAACCAATCCCCCATGAGTACTGAGGGATAACTGTACTTAAAAAACAGACAAAGGACCTTATGAGTTATGCTCCCTGACATACAAAGGTTTTTATGGCTTGTCATAAAGATATTAAAACCTTGGTTTCAAATAATTTTTAGGGAATTATTTCTTTAAAAAGTGTGGTGAGTGTTTGCCCCACCAGGGAAATCCTAACATTTAGCTTAATCTTTCTGTGCAGTGTTCAGTTTTAAGCTACATGATTCTGGGATAAACAGAAATTAAAGTGTCATATTTTCAAAAGTTCACTCTTAGACGTCTCCTTCTTATCTATTTTTTTTTTTTAATAGAAATGAGGTTTCACCATGTTGGCCAGGCTGGTCTCGAACGCCTGACCTCAGGTGATCCACCCATCTCGGCCTCCCAAAGTGCTGGGATTACAGGCGTGAGCCACCACGCCCGGCCCCTTTCTATCTATTTTTGAAAATAATTTTAGAAGTTTTTCTGTGTTCAGACATAGACTCATGCCTCCTTATTAAAGGAAAAAAAAAGAAAAAAGAAGTTTTTCTGTGTAGGCTCCCTGCCCCTACACTTCCTACACTACCTCACTGTCCAATAAACACTTTTGCTATGTTTTGACACAGGAGTCAAGGTTGCTAAGAGACCACACCTGTGCTGAATGCACTTTGTTCTGGCAAGAGCAGAAAAGTGAGAAGCTGTGTTACCTACTACTACCTGGGATTAATTCAGGTGAGAAGTGGGTCTGTACTCACTCCTCATGCCTCACCGATTGTCTATCCCCCTCCTCACTTCTTATTTCAGTGTCTCTCTTACTCTTTTTGGAGAGAGTTGAAGGTACCCCTGGGAGCCACAGACTGAAGAAACACAAGGTGGAGTTTGAGGTTTCTGGAGGGAAGGAAAATCACTTTACAAATCCATGTAATATTTTTGCTCCTTGTTGCTGAAACACAGGCAAAAGGATTTGTTGCACGCAGGGAAAATTCTGGGTGTTTCTTTTGCTAATGATTGCTGATTGCTGTATACTTTGCAGCAAGTAATTCCCTTCTCTAGGAATGGAGCAATTAATTATAGAAATTAATCAAGATTGCTCAAAATGAGTACTCTGGCAGAGTACTCATCTCTTTTCCCTTCTCTCTTTCTCATTCTTTCTTAAAAGTTAACCTGCCTTTTTGATTTTGGGGTGAAATAGCAGATGAAATATTTTACTACCCAAATCTTGCCACCTTTTTGATATTGACGTTCATTTTGAGTTGACTATATATGGGGACCTTTGGTGTAAGGCTTTGAAAATTACTTATTTGCCTTTGCATTCCCTGTAAAAGGGATTAAAAATGTTTCTAAATGCCCTGCCTAACAGACAGTTGGTAAAATGTTCTGACAATGTGGAATGCAGACCACAAATTCCAGGTATTTTTTAAATCCTGTTTTATTAATACAGAAATGTGGAGGAAATTAAATGTTTGATGTCTTAGTAAGTGACCAAAACATGAGACAGGATCTTGAGGAAAGAAAAATACCATTTTTCAAAATCATTACCTGCCTTTTTTCATGTCTTCAAATTCTCACTTAATGGTAACATCAATAGTACAAGTTAGAGGAATAGCAGCTTCCCCATTGCCAATAAAAATGATTGAAATGACTGTAGATACTTCATAAATAAACTTAATACTGATAACATGAAAAGGGAATGGCCATTATGAAAATTCCTTGAGCTGTTTGTTTTAGAAAGAAAGGCAAGTTTGGCATAGAGAAAAGCCTGTGATTTTGACATAAAGTGGTCAAAATAAATGGGAGAAAAATATTTGCGTTTATTGGAGAGAAAAAAATTTTATGTCATTGATTGCTTGCTTACGAATAGGTATGGAATATTCCCTGGAAGACTTACCTTGGTCACTATCTCTCATAGTGGAAATCTTAGATTGAGCTGAAAGAATCAGTATTATAAATGTGTTCATTTGAGGATACTTTTCTCTTTTTTCCTAGGGAGCAGGAGTTTTCTGGATATGAATGGTAAAAACTGGATATTAATTTCTACTACTAATCCCAACAGCCTAGAAGATGAAATTGTGGGAAGACTTCTAAAAATTTTGTTTGTTATCTTTGTTGACTTAATGTCTATTATATATGTTGTGATAACTTCTTAGAAAGCTGCCTTCCTTTACTTTCCATATAAATTTCCAACTGAATTACAGTTAATAAAAATTTGTATTTTAAAAAGTTGAGTGACTCACATTTTATGACATTGCCAATTTATTCTAGAAGCCAACAGGGTACTGCAATACAAACAACACTGTGTATTGTTGAGATCTTTATGGTTTATGAAACATTCACATATACTGAAGTGGATTTTTTTCCCCAAAAACCAGCTATCCTACTGAGTCATAAAGCTTCTTGGTTTTTGGCCAGGCGTGGTGGCTCATATCTGTAATCCCAGCACTTTGAGAGGCCCAGGTCGGTGAATCCCTTGAGCCCATGAGTTTGAGACCAGCCTGAGCAACCCGAAGAAACCCTATCTCTACTAACACTAAAAATTAAACAAAATTGACAGGCATGGTGGTGCATGCCTGTAGTCCCAGACACTCACACTCGGATGCTGAGGTGGAAAAATCATGTGAGTCCAGGAAGTTGAGGTTGCAGTGAGCTGCGATTGAGCCACTATACTTCAGCCCGGGCGACAGAGTAAGACCCTGTCTCAAAGCAAAACAAAACAAAACAAAAAGAAACAAATTTTTTTAGGATGTTTACCTATGTTATATTTTATATAATTCTATTTTAACATACCAAGCTTAACATTCCAGTAGCATAATCTTTACATATGCTGTACCAATTTTCTCATACACATATTTTATCTGTTTGTAGGTGGATTGTTTTTCTTAACCCTGGGCAATTGAGTGACTTAGGAATGAACTTAGGAATGAAAATACTTAGACTTAGGAATGAAAATACTTAGAAAAGATTATTTTAGGAAAACAGAACTTACAAGGAAGGAGAGAAGGCAGAGTGTATCCTATGTTGATTTCCTATTTGAGACTAAATGCTCACTCTATGTCATTTAATGTAAGGCTTACAATAATCCTAGGTGGTACGTGCTTCTTGCCTCCATTTTACAGAAGAAACTGAATCTTGGAAGAATTGTGCCAGTTTGAGGCCAACACTAGGAAGTGTCTGGAACCATATCTGGAGCCTTCACAATCTGTAATATGTTGCCTCCAAAGGTAAATAATAACTATAAGACAAATGTGGTTAAAAATCAATCTGTAGAACTAACCTGTTTTTCTTACATTAATTCTTTATTCAAGCCCAGATTTCTGTATTTAATATTGCCCCATTTTCTTATTCCACATATACAATTTTTTTTATCAAGAAGAAAGATCAAGTTTACTTTTTTCTTATGTCCCACTCAAAATGGGTTCTCTTCCCCTGTGTTCTCCATTTCCTCTTTATCTCACAGTCAGTGTTAAAAGATAACTGTTGAACTTGTACTTTTTAAGCTTTTGAAAAACATATGACTCTCTGTCCTTTAGGCTTTTTGAGTTTTTACTTTGGACACACATGCTCAACAAAAACCTGTTTTCTTCTATGTGATAACTATTTTCTTTGATTTGGCCCAATCATTAATGCAAGTTTTCATAAGAGATCTGATTAAGTGTGAAAGGAATCTGGACCTTTGCGACATAGCCTTTAACCAGCTCTTACTTAACCAGTCAGCAGTGTTGTATATTTAACTACAAACCAAATAGAGTCAAAGTGAGCCTTAATTGAAAACAGTAGCAGAAAATCCTATTCTTCTCCTACACTGCATTATCAGACCCTACCTTTTGGGTATAAGGACCACCTCCTGTTGATGTGCTGTGTTTCTCCCCAAACTCCTATATTTGAGATTTGTTGGAACCTGTTATCAGGTTACTCCTATTTTCAGGCAGTTTCTTTTCTCTGAAAGCTTCCAGGCAGTAGACAATGTGGTTCAAATAATCTATTCTGAAGCCAGACTGCCTGGGTCACTTCCTATAGTTTGATGGCCCTATAACTCAGCTTCCTTACCTATGAGAGCTTTGCTCATAGGGTTGTAGAGAAAAATGAAATGAGATGACTGATGCAAAGCACTTAGTACAGTGTCTGGCATATGGGAAACTCTTAATCTATGATAGATCACTGTCATTATCCTCAGGTGGGAGCAAAAGTGATGTGGCTTCCTTCAAATTTACACTCTCCCTTACACTTAGAATGACCTTACATTAACCCATCACATTGGCTAGAGGAGGTGACTGTTCCACTGGAACCTAGGCATAGTTCCACTGGAGCTATAGATCTAAACTGGTTGACTTCCCAGGGCGTCTTTTGGTTATGCTATTTTGGGAGCTGGCAATTACAACTATGTATCATAATGTGACTTGAGACAAGAAAAGATACATGACAAACATCCATTTTCTTTTTCTTTTCTTTTTTTCTGAGACGGAGTTTCACTCTCGTTACCCAGGCTGGAGTGCAATGGCGCGACATCCGCCTCCTGGGTTCAGGCAATTCTCCTCCCTCAGCCTCCTGAGTAACTGGGATTACAGGCACACACCACCATGCCCAGCTAATTTTTTCTATTTTTAGTAGAGACGGGGTTTCACCATGTTAACCAGGATGGTCTCGATCTCTTGACCTCGTGATCCACCCGCCTCGGCCTCCCAAAGTGCTGGGATTACAGGCTTGAGCCACCGCGTCCGGCCCAAACATTCATTTTCAACATGTAATAAGAGTCTTTTTTTTTTTTTTTTTTTTTAAGACGGGGTTTCACCATGTTGGTCAGGCTGGTCTTGAACTCCCAACCTCAGGTGATCCGCCCACCTTGGCCTGCAAAGTGCTTGGATTACAGGTGTGAGCCACCACACCTGGCCAAGTAATAAGAGTCTTAATATGCAAGTGTTGGGGCTTTATAATTGGCAATAGGTTATTTTTTTTCACTCTTAGAAAATATTCATTCAGTTCCATTTTGCCAGATTGTGCTGGTCAGCCAGGCCAAGTTGTAAACAAACAAGTTGTGTTATGAAGGGTATAGTGAGAGGTGATTCCAGAACTACTAGCAGTGGCAACTTCTGGGGGGAGCTTGTTAGGCATCCAGAATCCTAGTCGCCCTGAGACCTACTGAATTCAGAATCCACATTCTAACAAGATCCCCAGTGTTCCATACACACCTTATGAGAAGCCCTGGGCAGCTCACATGACTAACTGTTCCTGCCATCTTGTTGCTCTGGCTACTGAGCTATGTGACATTTGGACATGTTGCTTAATCTTTCTGGGTCTCATACTCCTCCTGCATTAAAATAAAGACAGACACACACAAAAAATGGCACAGATATGCTTTGCATATCATGTAGAAATCTGTGAATGTCAAATGATTTGGGCTAAAACTGACATGAAAATGCATGCCAGAAAAGAGTTATGTAAATCCAAGTCATTGTTTTTTTTTTTAAGACAGAGTTTAGCTCTTGTTACCCAGGCTGGAGTGCAATGGCACGATCTCGGCTCATTGCAACCTCCGCCTCCTGGGTTCAGGCAATTCTCCTGCCTCAGCCTCCTGAGTAGCTGGGATTACAGGCACGCGCCACCATGCCCAGCTAATTTTTTTTGTATTTTTAGTAGAGACGGGGTTTCACCATGTTGAACAGAATGGTCTCGATCACTTGACCTCATGATCCACCCACCTCGGCCTCCCAAAGTGCTGGGATTACAGGCTTGAGCCACAGTGCCCAGCAACATCAGGAAGACAAGAGTAGCTCTTTGAGGTAATGAATCCGTGACTGCCTTTGATAGAATTGGAAAAGGATTGTAACAATATCCATGGCAAATATGTATGTATACAGTATGGACTGGGTAACACAGAATTTCCTCCTGTGGATTTCTGTGATGTTTCATAGAACTTAATGTCTACCTGTGCTGTGATAATTAACCCTCCAACTGAACTGAATAGTGTTTCTTCACTTGCCACTAATAGATAGGCCATACCTGAGTACAGATATCTCTGCGCTATTAATTTCATAATCTCTTGGTATTAATTCAAGTGGAATTGCATCCTTCTTAGTGCTGTAATCCCTTGAAGAAATTATTCCGAATTAAGAAGAGAGGTCAGAAAATGCCTTTCAGAACCCTTGTTATTTATAAATAAATGTACTGTGCTGTATTTTGCGTACATTCTGAAACAACCTGTACAAGTATATGCGGTATTTCCATTTCATAGATGAGAAAATGCAGGTTCGGAGAAATTTAGTAAGATGCCCAGGTTCATACAGGACATCCTGACTGTGGTGATGCAGCTAGAAGGTGAGAGAGCCAAGACCCCCAACTCAAAACCATCTGCCTCTAGAATCCTGTTGCCAATGATTGAAACCATTCAGTGATTCTGCCTCATAACATGCCTGAGGAGTGCTTACCTCACTGCTTCCTCATTTGGAAGATGTGAGGTTTGAACTGTAATGAGGGCATCCCAATTCTAACTCAAGGATTCAATAGTGAAAATGCAACCTGTTAAGTCTATTCTAAATGTATCAGGAGATCATTTGCAAGGTCTTACTTTACAGATAACTCTTTCCTCTTTTCTAGGTCTTCAGTCTGTAATAAAATGGCATATGTATTCTCCAGTCATTAAGCTCCATTTTTTTTTGTGTTATTAAATATGAAGTCAGGCCTTGTAAATGGGAGTCTCAGATCATTGTTCTGTGTTCGGTACCCAAATAAATTAAAGCTGCACCCATAAAAATATTTTAATGTAATTTTTTGAATAATCAAAAAGTCTCAAATACTATTTTAAATAATTTATTTTCAAAGAACTTACAAGTATAGGTATAATTTGGAAACAATTTCCAATTGTTTGGGTTTTATAATGATACCTCTTGTGTGACCAGCACTCTTCAGTTTATGAAGCACTGAGTGACACATTAAGGGTTGTAGATGGGGTAACATTTGAGTGTCCACTTGAATATAATGACTTACAAGAAAAGTAAGCCAGAGAGCCGTTCCAGTAAGAATGAACAATTCCTTGATTTGCAGTGGAAGGAACATTAAAATCTAAAAAAAAAAGGAATGAATTCCTAAGTCTATTGCATAATTGGGATAAACTGTCTCTAGAGATGGGGGGGGCAAGGTTTGAGAGGGGATCTTAAATGTGTGGAGTTTGTATGACCACTTAGACCCAGGGTGTTGTTCTGGGCTGTTCTCTGCATGACTGTTTACTG